AGACAAGAACGCTCTCCTCGCCATGTTTGAGCTGGCAAAGGTTTGACTGATGTTTGTAATTAGAGGTTTTAATACTTGTGACAAGGAGACACTACAGAGCAATCATGAAGCCAGATTCCTCTCAGAAGAGCATCTCAGTGGTTTTGATGTTTGCTTTTGTGTAGTATTTGAAACCACTACACAAACACTTTTATGGTTTTGACAACGTTGTTTTACTTTGTGTTTCCTGCAGTCTGAGGATAAAACGGTGCTCTTTGCTGTGGGCTCCACCTTAGTAAATTGCACCAACAGCTATGATGTGGAAAAGCCAGACCCTCAGATGGTAGAGCTGGCCAAGTATGCAAAGCAGCATGTGCCTGAGGAGCATCCCAAGGTACTATTTTAATTTTTGTGTATTCATGCTGAGCAGTATTTGCTACATACTAGGCTTGGATGGCATCCATTTTTTCATACCCTCATACCTTCCTAAAACATTTCACCGGAGTAGACACTATGACTCCCTGTGTAAAACTAAAAATAAAAAGTTAAAGCATAGTTTTCTACATGCCACAAACTTAAGAAAGGAAATATTCTTACACCTATTTTTCTTACTAAACAGAAAATACAGCTGTACACTAACTGAATTCAAATTGCTTTCTTTTACCGTACTAAGATTAATTTAATTCACAGTCAGATCTGAAAATATGTAGACTTTACATGCTGTTTCTCCCCACTGTGTCTTTCTGCCGTTGCTGTTTTTATTAGTCTGGTAATGTTTTCGGCACCACTCATAGTTGCAGCCATTCTCAGCTGAGACTGACCTCTGGTGGCGCATGTTGTGCACTACATCATCTCTATACAGCATCTCCTTGTCAGTTTAAAAGAAAGAGCAGTCCCTGTATTTGTTTCGGTGTTAAAAATCATACCTTCAGGATTTTTAAATACCCTGGTAATACCTTGATACCGCCCAAGTCTACCGCACACAACATTACTTCAGTACTGAACAGAGACTTTACTACTTTTACATGCTTTTTTTTTTTCTTTAGAGATGGTTTGACATGAACCTGTCTGTCTTGTCATATGTCAGGATGCACAGTCCTACGTGGAGAAACGTCTTGTGAAGCTGCTGGAGGCTGGTGTGGTGTCTGCGTTGGTGTGTATGGTCAAACAGGAGAGTCCTGCCCTCACCGAGGCTTGCAGAGAATGTATCGCCAGGTAGGACAACAGCAGTGAGTCTTTTTCACTCAGCATTCTCTCTGTAGATTCTGTGTTAATTGCATTCCTCATGGCAGGGTCTTCTTGGCTTTGGTGGAACGACAGGAAGACAGAGGCACGGTGGTGGCACAGGGTGGAGGAAAGGTAGAGCACCCTGATAACTATACTTATTTTAGCCTGTACACCATTTAGCCTAAGCACTTTGCTTTAATAGCTTAAATGATTCATGATGACTGTTTTCCTCCGCAGGCTCTGATCCCACTGGCATCTGACAACACAGACATAGGTAAAATCAAAGCAGCACAAGCCCTCGCAAAAATCGCCATCACATCAAACCCAGAAATTGCCTTCCCAGGAGAAAGGGTGAGATTTGCATGCTGGTAAAAGCCTCTTCGGTTTAAAAAGAAAAGTGCTTTTACTATTTAACCTTGCCTCACTTTTTGTTGTCAGATCTATGAGATGGTGCGCCCCCTTGTCAGTCTTCTGAGTCTTGAATGCACCCTGCTGCAGAACTTCGAGGCACTCATGGCTCTTACCAACCTGGCCGGCATCAGTGATAGACTAAGGTTGGCCACTAGGGGGAGTCTCTCCTAAGAATACATGTACAGTGCTGTTTTTAGGACTTTGAGGATGCAAGTATTTTAAGTCTGAATGATGACCTCAAAAGCATGTTAATAGTTTGACAGTGTTAATACTGTTTTTTTAACATAGCTGAGGTCATGTCCTGTCAGTGTGCAGGCATTTAAACCTTTTAAGATGTACAACAATGCCTTCCTGATTTTGTCTTTACTGATCGTAGATTTTATCAGGTCAAAGCTCCACACTTGAATGTTTTTGCTTACTAGTCTACAGTTTTCCTTTCATGATTTATCTTTCATCATGACATTCCAGTTTTGTATCTGTGTTCAGAGTATCTGAAGTGTGTTGTCTTACAGACAAAAGATCATAAAAGAGAAGGCAGTCCCAAAAATTGAAGGCTACATGTTTGAGGAGCACGACCTGGTCCGAGCTTCTGCCACAGAGTGCATGTGTAATCTGGTTTTAAGCACAGAGGTACGGCACATATTAATAAATGACTGTATGGCACAAATACTATGAAAAGTAGACGTAAACATGTGTGTGTTTGTTGTGTCCTCAGGTGCAGAAGCTGTACCTGGCCACAGGAAACGATCGCCTGAAGCTGCTTGTGCTCTACAGTGGAGAGGAGGACGAGAGGCTGCGGAGAGCTGCTGCAGGAACTCTGGCCATGCTGACCGCTGAGCAGCCTGAGCTCTGCGCCCGCATACCTGGAACAGTAAGCAGACCACTGCAGCAGCTTGCTGTCCCCACACATTCATCAACTCTGTGGCACACTAAAATAATTTTTTATTCGTTTTAGCTCACATTACTTCTTGTTGTCCTCTTTTCTCAGACGACCCACTGGCTAGAGATCATACAGTCGATATTGCTCTGTGACATACCCGACCTGCGCCACCGTGGAGTGGTCATAGTGCGGAACATGATGGAGGCAGAGAAGAGTCTGGCCGAGATGCTCATGGAGAGCGAGGCTCTGGAGATTCTTTCTGTCTTGGCAAAGGGAGGAGAGGGCACGCCGGAGCCTGTTTCTAAGATAGCTCAGAGCTGTCTGGACAAGGCGGTGGAGTACAGCATCATTATGAGCAGGGAAGGGAGGGAGAAGGGCAAAGGAACTGAGCCCTGAAAAGACAGCTGCAGCGTGTGGATTTGCCCTCTGGCAATGTTAAAGTGCTTTGAGTATTAAGTGGGACCAGTGAAGTCATTTCACTCTTGCAGGAAAATCAGTTTTGGTCTGGATGGGTATGAGCTGGTCCTGACATGCTTGTGTCTTAACCAAAAACTGTGAGAAGCAATAAATAAATAAATGAATGAAGAAAAATAGTAAATGAAAACCAGTGGATCCTCACAGAAGTGGTTTGCTGTTTCACATTGCTTTTCCACTGATTGTATTTATCTCAATTATACTGTATCTCCCTCTACTGTAAGTGTTTGTTTGACTTGGAGACCAGTAAGGCTACTTTACAGAAGTATCGCTATTTCCTCGTATTTGCAAATATTTTGTTTCGTATTCTTTGTTTATTCCCCAAAATACACTCTTTATTTTTCATTTTGTACACTACTATACTCAGTGTGAATTCTAATTCAGCAGTTTTCAGCGTGTGCACACATTTTCTGCAGGTAACTCATTTTCTAGTAATTGTTTTTATAAAATTTTACCATTTCATACACATAATTGTGTGCTTTTTGTTTTTAATGTCAATTATTATCATCACTCCACTCTATTTCCAGTGTCTTACTTGTATGGTTTGTCATGTTTTGACTAAACACATGGGAAATAAATAAAACCTCAGACTTTCCCTGAATTATATTGTCACATCTGAGTTCACCCATCTTCACTGTCAAGTCATTTTGTAACAATACTATAGTTCTCTGGTTATTTATTTGTGCATACGATAAAATAAAACAGAAAATTAAAAAGACAGCTGTAGACTTGTATTGCCAATTTACAAACAGACATATTTTAAAAATAATATTTTAATTTAACTTTAATTAAATAATAATAATTTTATTTTAATAATACATCTTTTTTTTAAATAGAG